GCATGCTTGCAGATATTTGATATTGCCTTCACGGGCCGTCTCCTTGATTAAAAGTGTGTAACCTAAGTAAACTGTGGACGCCTAACCCTGGTCCTGATCGTCTGCTGCATCTAGATTGGATTCCTAGTACATTTTGGCCATAATGCCCAATTTCTGTGACAGTTGTGCTTATCCGTCTGCCTAGTTCCCTGACTGCCAAATTCCCAAAAGTGTACTGGTTTCTCCGATCAAAGTTCACTCAGTAAGATGGCCTTTGCTTGATTTCCGAAATTTACCCTTCCATTCCTCCTCGCGATCCATGTTCCTCCGTTTAAAGATGGGTCCTTTATCCAGAAGTCTCCTTTTTGCTGGTCCTGCTGTATCCTTGTTTTACCAGAGTCTGCTTAGGCAATAGGCAAAGTTATCGCTAATTCTGCTTTCCTGATATCTCTTGTTCATTCGGTTTTTTCCCCAAGGATGCCAATGGACTCTCTAATCTTCCGTTTGTTTGTGTTTTTATCATATGAGTCGCAGTTTTCTGTTGCATTCCAATTAATCTCGTGTCCAGTCTGTGCGATGTGTTCCGCCAATTGTGAACTGTCGGTATCCATTTTGCTACAGAGTTTTTAATGTTCCTTGATTCTTATACAGATTTTTTCCCTGTTTCTCCAATCTATTTGTTTTCACAGGCGCTGCATGCTACGCAGTAGACTTACGAACAATCTCATGTTGCGTGAATATACTTGTGAAGAGTGTTGCTTTTTCCTTCGTGGTCACCTGAATATTTCATTTTCTCAGTATAGACTGGAGTCCTCGAGTTAATTCACTGGAAGGTAGGCATATACACTTTTGTTAATCGTTCTCCACCCTTACTGATCTTTAATGGTCCAGATTCTGTATCTTTTTAGTGCCTTGCTTGGCTAGTCATTGCCGAGGGATATCTGAGTCACTTTGTTCACTTCTTCATCCCATAATTCCACGTTCATTAATCATAGGCTTGTGATGATCATGCTTCCCATTATTCCTATCCCTAGCCTGTAGTTATGATTGCACTAGAAATTAAGTATTATTCCGGCATATGGCATTCATATATTCGAGTAAAAGAGTTTTAGCCTCAATAATTTATAGTAAATATGCGTTAATAACTGTTGGTCAGAAAATCCACGTGCTTTGTGTAAGTGCACGACTAAACGAACGTAGTGAAAAGATGTTCTTCTTAAAAGGATAATTCCTTGCCTTGATTGTATTAAAACACAGCTTAACAATGGCGCGCCCACCCTGCATGAGGACATTATGTACGCGCCACACATTTGAAAGGTATTTACGCTGAATAAGCATTCCTTTAAATTGCAAAATTCAGGTATTTGCAATCCATTTAAATTCTGTCTTCCGTAGTTATATTTGACAAGGAGGCACTTTTGAGAGGCAAAGTAGGAGGCCTCAAACTGCGAATATTTCGGTCCACTATGACTATAAGAAATTGTTGGAGTTGTAATGTCCTCGAAGGATTTGATGGGAGGCCTAAGAGGAAAAAAACACCGCTATTTTAGGCTCTTTCATTTCGTGTTAATATAGATTTGTGGGGAATTGATGTAAAGCGCTTTTGATAAACATATTTCACATATAAACTAGATACCAAGATCAAGCTATGGCCTCTCCACTGAACTTTGTGACCGAGATGAGATCTTTTTAAACTATCATCGTCTTTCTGACTGATATCCTAGTAAGCAGATCATGTGACTGGTATACAACTTTGGCTAGATAGCAGATCAATTCAAACGACTTTCATTAAATTTCTGTAGGGATTTGGCTATGTCTACACAACTCTTCGCATTCGGATAAATTCCTTCCAGGATAAATTAGCACACCTACGGAATATTCTGTACACACCATATGTCAACATGTGTATAAGTAAGATGGTGTCTGAGATTATCACCATGTCTTCGTCTATCGAATAGCCTTAAAAAATCGTCACCTTTTCCATCCCGTATAATGGAGTGGATATATGGGATTACTTTAAGAAAGAGGTAAAAGTTACAATGTCCAATGTTCTAGATACAGGTAGAGCTGATCTACAGGGCAAAATTCCTGAATCGGTTATATCAATATTAATTGTATTATAATAGTATATAATTATAAATTAATGCGTGCCTTGGTATAATAAATCAAAAGAATACTACTCAATGAGCATACCTCATGGACTCGGCTCCGCTCGCTTTCGGCTGATTTAGTCTGGCCGTGCAAACTAAGCAAACTCTGCTCTGCCTTGGCCTGTTCAACCTGAGCCTGTTGGGCCGCGAGTCGGGCTTGTGAAACTGAATCTGTGATACGAGACAATTCTTCACTGAGACCCGCCAGTACACGGCGCTGTTCGGTCACACGAGAATCGGCCTTTTCGCTCGCCTCTAGAGCGGAC